AGGTGGTTTACCATGGTTTTGCCTAGAAGGTAAGACATAAGAATTTTCAATAATACTTGAATTATGAGAACGTACCTCTTGGATATCCTCGGGGACATGAGCGGGTACTGGTAGAGGAGAATGAGGGTTATTATAATCAACATTATAAATTCAAGAAAAAAACAATGCAATGATTTCAACATATAATCATCCTTTTCAGGCGGGCAATCATTAGATATCGTTAGATGTGTTGAAATGCCACTGCTGCCAATTGATACAGTTTTTATAGCATACACACAAAAATTGTTCAGCCAAAATAATCTCTAATTAAAGCATCACAGTTTATTAAATTGAAGATAAATCAATACCTGAGAAGAGAGACTAATCATAAGGTCGGGAACCTATGAAAACAAAGGAAAATAACAATAATGAATTTGAATTTACTACAATTTTCTCTAAGACCATGTTTCATATACTCTACTTAAAGATTCAATTCTCATCGTTCTCATCGTTAGATGTTTAACCCATTAAAAAAAACTTAAATTAAGAAACAATTGAACAGATTATGATATCAACACCCTTAGCAAGAATAAGGCCAAATCGTTTCCAAGAGAGCAGGGAAACTGCTAACTAGTTAAAAAGAAAAAAAATATTTCACATACAAAACATTTACGCGTGTTTCTTCCTAACATGAAGATGACAACGACTCGAGATTATATGACTACATTACATCTCCTTTGGTTAATCCTTCTTGTGATGATGAAGTACTGAATCGTCCAAAAATCCTCAATTCTCGAGCAGGGGATGCTCCCATGGTTGAATTCAAAATAATGCTTCGTTACTCTTTTTTTTTTCAAGGTAAATAATGCCCAACCACTCTACAGATGAGGCATCTAATCAGCTTAAATGTTTTGTAAAAGAAAGGTTAGCAAGGATAATCTTAGAGCACAAGCATTTTGAATCTAATCAACTCAGTGTGAAGCAGCATCTAATAAAGCATGGAAGAACTCTACCAAACAATAGAACATGGCGAAACCTATCATCGAATAAATAAATTATCAAGACATCTAAAATCTAAGCTTTCAGCAACTAGTGGTAACCTATTCTCTATGCTTTTAATGTCATCAGCTTCAGCAGATGCCAATAAATACAAGAGTAAGGTCAAATCCTTTCCAAGAGATATGATATCGAAACATATTTTCAGTGATGTTCAAGGACCAAAACTATCAAACATTAAAAACTAAAAATTAAAGCACTGTAAAATTCAGTTTGAAAATGCGAAAATACCCAACAATCCCTCCATAACCACCGGCATGATCGACTTCATCACCAGCTCCGGCCTCATCACACTCATCGATGCCACTGCTAATCCACTCTTGGCCATCAAGTACGCTGCTCCCATACCTAAAAAACACACAAAACCCGAACAAAATCATACGTTTCTTATATCTGAAATTGAAGAAATTTGGCTACGAATTTGTAGAAACTAACTTAAGGATCGGAAAGAAGATGGGAAGAGGATTATGGAGGTATAATTTGACGGTCTGTTGCTTGTAAGAAAAAGGGAGAGAAAGGATGCGGGAAGTAGAGAGAGTGAAGGGGGAAGGAGGAGAGAGGGTGGAGGGGAGAGAGAGGAGACATTTGTGAAAGGGGAAAGAGAGGATAACCATTTTAGTTTTGTCCACCTTTAAAACCACAATAAATTCTTATAATATGGAATCCACTCCATGACTTTTCTCACTCATTTCGGTGGGTATCCAAAAAAACAAATAACCAGCACCACTTCAGTGCCTACAAAATAAATAATAAAATAAAAATGTAGAAGAAAAGTAATTTTAAAAAATAAAGTTATTTAACAGACACCAATCATTGATGTCTCAATTTTCAAGGCCACCGATATCAGCGGCATCCCACTCTAAAGACACCAAAAAATAGTAAGAGTGAGTGCTTTATATCTATGACCACCATTTGCAAATGGTGTGCAAAAAATGGTGTCCTATAAGCATAATTCTAGTAGTGGTATGACATGTGATATGTACATGTCATATTAATTAGTGAGTTTATTTTGTTATATGTTGATTATTTGCATATTTTAACACATCAAATGATACATCAATGTGGGGTACAAAATTATGTGCTCCGTAGAATTACTTGCCATACAAATTGTACCTATATCTAATTAAAAGATAGACGAATTCTCTTATAACATCTAAAAAGTTACAAATTACAAATCACAAGTTGACATGTGCTCAAAACACACACACACACATATATATTTTTTTTTTTTGGGTGCTTTTGATGAGTCCTTTGTATGGGAAGTATGGGAAAATGAAGATAACTCGTGTAAGAACTTAAAAAGACACTATATTGAATTCTCGTGATCAATATCACATCCCGCATGAAGGTTGAATTGTCTAATCTTATGTCTAAAAACCTTAGCCGTCAACCCCATAGCCGTCGGCCTCTGGCTATGGTTGGGGGCCGGTGGCAACCTCTACCCTTCCTCTCCTAGCTCTTCCTCCCTCTCTATCCCCCACCTCTTTCCCATCACAGCCATCCTTCACCCCCGCCATACTCCAGTTTCTTCCCACCCCCGATCATTCATTCCCGGCCTCTACCAACCTCCCTTCCACTCCCTTGCTTCTCTCCCACCATTTTAGGTGCAGTCCTCCATGGATCTATGCCTATACCATGACCCGGGCCATGCCATTTCAAGATGTTCTTTGATTTGGCGCTTGTATTCTTGGTGTGGGTTTTAGATTTGTGTTGTAGGTGGGTTGGATCCCGTTCACCAACTCGATTCCATGGCGGTGTCACCTTCCCTGATAGCTTTTGTGGATGCACTGACTGTGCTTCTGGCAGCTGCTCTTGTGGTCCTTGGTGTGTGGAAACCGACATTCGCACTGCTGGATGTGCTGGATTGTGGTTCCCATCTCGGTTCTTTCCTTTTGCTCACTTTGAGCGAGTTTTATTTAATTTAGTTTATTTTAGTTTTCTTAGTTTAGTCCTGGTCTTCCAGGAAAATTGCTCACTAGGGTTCCTAGATCTTTTTCGATTTCTCTAGGAGAGCGTCTGCACGATGTTCGTATACGGCGATTGGCGTCGAGTTACCTTGATCTTGTGTTCGTAGTTCTATGGGCATAGGTAAGTGGCTGTTTGGTCCAACTAATCCACTTTGTTGGAGAGACATTTTTAGCTGATGGTTCAGGCTAGTTTCGCAGCGTGTGGAAGCTAAGTTTGGATGCTTTGTCACACGATTGACGCTCACCGCACAACAATGGTTGAATGCTAACAAGTTTGTGAGCGGAAGATCCCTTGATTTGCTTAGGGATATTTTGTAATTTGCTTATGTATTGACATTTGAGGATAGGTAATTCGTCGTGCGGGACACTCTTTTTCCCTGATTGAGTTGAAAGCTCCGGCAAGGTTTTATTGAGGCACACTATGTACACTATCCTCAGTTTGTTCTCAAATTGTACTTGTTCTGTGTTGTTTGAAATAAATATCGAATATCGTCTTTCACTCAAAAAGAAAGAAGAAAATAGCGATAATATTGTATTTGTACATATCAATCATAAAATCTATTTAGCTTTGGAAAAATAATTTCCACACATGATTTATTTTTAATGTACATCGTTGTTTATTTACGATCTTTGAATCAAATAAACAAAAACAAAATCGTGTACAAATTAAAAAGAAAATTCGTGCATATATAAGTAGACAATTGTAGATCACTTAAACACAATGGGAAGTCACTGAAGTGTTCCCACAGGATGGTTTTGGCAGGAAGAAAGAATACGTCAGTTGCTGTCAATCTAATAGCATTTTTCTTACTACAAAAGAGTTCAGGATAATAAAATGATTGAGTTTCCACTCATGTGTCTTGGGTTCGAAACTATCATATTTCTTCATTTATTGTAATTGTTTCAAATCCTCTCCTCTTCCCTTATGAAAAAAAAAAGCAAAAAAAATCTAAGATTACATTATTATCATAAAAATTTATTGTCCAACGTTATATGATAAACGTTCAGGACAAAACAAATTGTTATCACTCTTAACACCGTGGTTTTAAAAAGTTGGCGTCCTGTTACGGTATAAAGCTATAAACACATGATATTATAAGTGGATGTTATCAAACTACTCACTAATCGATACATGCGCCAATTCTGAATATCAACAAGTAACCTAGTAATTACCATGCTTTCTTGATCTAGTCGGCTTTAGGTTTGGCACTCTAATTATTAACTGTCACTTTTGCCCTTGTGCTACGACATGTATAAATTATTTTGGGTGTTATAATACGTACTTAATTATGCATTGACATATTTGTATACAATGACGAATAATCAGATATTATATGTGCAACATGACCATTATAGGATTAGTTAAGGGAACCGGATCCCCTCCAGATCCATATATATTGAGCCTACTGAGCAGACGATCCAAACCGTTGAAATTTGATTCAACGCCTACAATTATTATAACTTTTAGAGGCCCCCTATTTGTATCCATTAGATCAAATTTCAACGGTCTGGATCTTCTCAGAAAGCTCAGTTTTATTGGATCCGGAGGGGATTCGGTTCCTTAGTTAAGATATATAAAATGAGAGGAGAATTTAGATGCAGTCCCTAACTATCAATGTTTTTTTTTACTAAAACCTTGTTAGTTTCAGTTTTTTATCGAAGTCTCTCACATTAATGTAATAATGTACTTTTATGTAAGTTAAGTTAATATGGTTAATTTTAGTTTACTATCCTGAAGTATTTTAGTTTTCAACATTTTATACATCAAGTTTTTTTTTTTTTTTTTTTTTTTCAGTTTGGTACTTAAAGTCAATTCTAGAACTTTTTCATACATCGTTAAATTTTTAGTTAGAACCTCAGTTAACTAATGATATGACGCCCACGTAAACCATGATTGGATGCTATGTAATCTGGCTCATGTGAACATTAAAACTTAAAATAAAAATTAAAAAAAATTAAAAAAAATTAAAAACTAAAAATTAAAAAAATTAAATAACTAAACCTAAACCCCTACATGTCCAGATCTGAATCTGCCTCTTCCCTTCCCTTTGAATCTCAGCCGTCTCATTTTCCCTTTTTCGAGGTCTCCTCCTCTCAAATTCAGGAGGTCTCCATCGCCGATACCTCCCCACTCCATCTCCGTCCAACGCTCCGGTGGATTTACCAATTCCTTCTTCTCCTCCCGCACCACTGCAATCGACTCCATCGCCGTCGCCTGACAGCGAACCTTACGTTCCCGCTCCGGCACCGCCGGATCATAGCGACATCAACAACGATGACATCAACGTCGACGGCGACGGAATTGAGAACTCCTCAAGGGGAGGTATGAGCGAGGGAAAGATGGCGGGGATTGCGTCTGGAGTCATCGTCGGAGTCGGTTTAGTATGGCTCAGAAGATTTTCTGGTATTAATTTCTCGTAATTTTTTGTTGTTGTTAAATTATGGGTTTGTTTAGTATATGATTGAATTGGGGTTTGCTCCATGCTCGACCACCTCAGGAGCGAGATTGTCCCCGACCACTCCAAGCTCTCTAAAATCTTTATGTAATTAGGGATTCGCGATCGTTCGAATTGCAGTTCCAGAACCAGACGGAGGACGAGCGCAAGTGGGGAGAGGGAGTGCGTCATCGGCGCCGTTGATTTGGATCTCATCGCAGATTTCCCAGAAGATTTCGATCTCACCACAGATTTGTACAGAAGGGAAGACGATGAGAGGGGAGCGAAGAAGGAGCGAAATGGGAGGAAGACGACTTTGTAATAGACCCCTCAAATACAACTAGGTTTAAAATATCGTTGATATCGGAAATATCGGTAGTCTAAAAACATGAAAATTTGGATGGAAATATTGAGATATTATCGATATCAATAAAAATTGAATAAAAATCACGAAAATTGTAAGAAAAACTTGGAATTTTTTTTTTAAATTTTACAGGATGTTTATTTAGTCAATTATCTATTAGTTTGTCACAAAAAATTAGAAGGAAATGCAATGCATGATGGATTTAACCGATTTAAGTTTATTATATAGCGAGCTGACAAATATTGTGAATGTAGAAAATATGTAGTAATTAATGAAAGAAGTTTAAACACACCTGTTTGGGCCCAAAATATCAGTTTGGGCCGAGAATAGAATTATTCTCGGCCTGGAAGGCCTTACGACAAAGTTACCATGGATTGTCTGGTTCATGGGCTTCCAAACCTAGGTCGGTAAAGTCATGCTGCAAGACAAATCGACTCCAAGCGCAATAAGGAGTCTCGGCGAGTTTAATAACCTGGAAGTGAATCCGACTCGATGAAAGGATAGGTTCAAGATCCTGATGGGAGTAGGAGTATTCGAGGGGATGTTTGATTAGAAGAAGAAATCATAATCCGAGTAGGTTGTTAACTCGACCTAGAAGGTACATTACTACTATAAATACAAGGCGCTGTGTAGCGTGAGAAGCCCTCTCCAATTCAACATACAACTGCCCTGCGCAAACTCTCTCAACAATTTTGAGATTTTTTATTTTCTCTTTTCGCTGGCACATCTTCCTTTGGCATTAACAGCACTGTGAAAGTAACCGGTGATATCTTTAGTCGGCATAGATAGCTCTGTCGCCGTAGAATTAGCCGATCTCGCAGCATCTTCCGTTGGCATCAACAGCACTGCTGTGAGGACAATTGGTTACCTATCCAAGTCTCGGTGGAGAAGGATTTTCGAATCCTTATTGATTGAGGTCATCTCGTTAGCCTTCTCGGCAAGGCGATGTGTTACAGCCTACTGAGCTCGGCGCATTGCACGCTGAGTTATTTTATGATTGGATACTCTCAAGTAGGATTTAGAGTTCGGTATTCAGACGGCCGAACCACGTTCATTATTAAGACTCATATCTGCTTTGAGTATTTGTGCCCTTACACTTTGGTGTCGATTCGGCATGAGTTTACTCTGATGAATACCATCACTGTGATCGAATCCAATGATGACGATTCGTGAACTTCGTAAGAATAGTAGCCTTGTCTTCAGGTTCGAAAACCCAAGAGGCCGAGACGTGTTCCTTCCTCGATCGCAATCGCGAGATGCAGAAATCAGCCACGCACCCAACGCAACATCAACAAATTTACTCCTTGGCCGAGCTCTGCCGACGAGTTGACACGCCCCGCATTCATCGAAGGACGTAGTTAACTTATAGATTACTCGGCCTGCGCGCCACGTAGGCTTGGTAGTTTTTAGGGTCAACAACACCATAATCATTTATATATAATGAATTTGTACAATCTTTTACACTTTATACATTGCATGGTAAGATATATGAGTGACTTAGTACCACATAGAGTTCCTATGAGGTTCAAATTTTTCACTATCTTCGTCATCTCTATGTGTAGAGTAAGTGTATTGTGAAGAGTAGTCATCAAATGATAAATCCCCAAAATAGTTTTGCATGTAATTGTTAACATGCTATCCATATGGATCCGAGATTTGTTGACGTTGTCCATAAACAAAATCATTTGAAGATTGAGTCTCAGATTCTTTCCATGAGTCGCTCAATTCCATCCCAACAAGAATGGGATATGAAGGGTAGGGAAATGGTTGGTTATGAGTATAACCATAGTCACTACTTCCCACTCCAACAGAGTCCAAAGTTATAGATAACGAGTCATCTTCTTGACTTGACAAAATCCCCTTGCCTCATTCTCTACGAGTATAGTCCTTCCCTATGGCACCAATTCCTGGTCCTGCCCGCCTACTGCCATGGTCCTCATCCTGTGTTGCATGCGTGAAGTTTGCCTCACCAGTAAAAGGGCTTATAAATCCGGGAGGTGGTTTAACATAGTTTCCATATCCACCACTACCTCCAACTCCACTATATCCTTCATCATTCCCACATCCGGTGGTAGGTGAGTCTCCTGATCTTGTACTAGAGCTATCATTAGTATCAGCATGATCTTGTGGTTATGTAGGATTGGAAGAAGGTGGAATTCCAATGTTTCTTGGTCTTGGGCGCAAAAGTTCTTCCAAAGAGTCAGCACTTCTAAATCCCACCTCATCCTCTAATACTCTTTATACATTTATCCCTTCATTACGTGTTTCTTCAATAACTCTGAGAGCTGGGTTGCCTTCATCATCATCTAAATAAAAAGGTCTAATCCATTGATAAAGTTGGTTACCCTTTGTATCATCATCTTCAGCAACAATATCAAACACATCTAGTGGGTCACCACGGTCGACATGATCTATTTCTGCTTCCTTATCTCAAATTTGAAGCTTCATGTTGTAGCAGTAATAAACTAATTTTTCCAACCTATTATGAGCCAACCTATTTCTTTGCTTTGTGTGTTTGAGTGCAAATGTACTCCAATTTCTTTCACAAGCAGATGAGGAAGCTGTTTGTGATAATACTTTGATTGCTAACATTTTCACAGTTGGTGCATCAGTCCCATACATGATCTACCATTCAGCTATAATGAAAAACAATGTTGATAAGCCTAATAACTCCAACAAATTCTATTATAAACTGATAGTGAAATATGTTTACACTCACTAAGAGACATTTTTGTTTAAGTAGCAACTGATGTTGGTTTTCCAAAAGTTCTTCTAGCATCTTTAAACCATGTTAGCTGAATTCAATAAATCGTGTTAGTTTAATCCAACAATGTAATTATTATACGTAATTGTGTACCTCATTTCCAAATTGGCCAACTGCTGGTGATGCAAGGTCTAATTTAGAGTATACATTATGTACAATACGTATAAGGGTACCATCATCTCCAACATCGGGTCTGTATTGGTATCAATGATTCAAATAATATGCTGTTCAAAGAAACACATACTCTAATAAGAGAAATAATATTTATGCAACTAAATAAATGAATTGCAAATTATGACATAATTTATACCTGTTGCATGCAAATCGTGGTATAATGTTTTATACCATCAGTCATCAATTATCTTTATGACTCACTTTGCACCATGTTTTCTTTCCAAGTCATCATTCACTACACACATCAACTTATATATTGCCCCCATAGTAGGATACACTTCTGTGCCAACGATCCGTAAAACTTTGTAAAGAGGTTCAAACACTTGGCACATATGTTCTAATTGAGTCCAAAAAGCATGATCAAACACTATACTTTCCACCATACGACCTGCATTTGAGCGGCTGAAATTGTGGTTGGCCCAATCGTCACTAGTGAATAGTTGCTTCAACCCTGCTTTCTTCTTAAGTAGGCTTGTAAACACGGATATTCCTGAAACGAACGAGACAATAACACGTGTACAAAATAATATTTTGTATTAAATTTAGGGGTTACAATCTCTTCTACAAATTTAGCCTCTGATTCGATCTCCGTAAGGTGTTGATATGTGGATGTGCGATTGATCCAAGGGCCGTCGAGGTTGATCTTGGATGAAAGGTTGGAAGTTTTCTTCAAGGGCCGTTGAGGTTTAATCTTGAAGGTTGAGGGAAGTTTCTTCAAGGGTATTTGGGCTTGATCTTGAAGGTTGATGGATGAACGGATCTTTAAGGCTTTTGGGCTTGATCTTGAAAAGCTGTTGATGAACGGATCTTCAAGGGCCTTTGGGGCTTGATCTTGATGAACAATTGATGTGTGGATTTGTTGATGTTGTTGATCCAAAGGGTCGTTGGGGCTTGATCTTAGGACGTACGGATGATGAACGATGAACACTTTCTTCAAGGGCCGTCGGGGCTTGATCTTGAATTTGTGGAAGTTCTTCAAGGGCTGTCGGGGCTTGGTCCTGAAGGAGGATTTGACGAAGAACGAAGAGAGCTTTCTTGATTCTTCGGGATTTGCTTGGGAGTTTTAGAGTTTCAAAGCTTCAGGGTTTTGGTGTAATGTGAATTGGTTATGAATTGGTCCCTTTAAATGAATGCCTTGCCTTCCTATTTATAGAATTCTAAAACTTGATTTTTGGATTTAAATAATTAGATGAAATAAATCATTTCTACTAAGTGTTGACACGTGTCATGTTTGACGACCTTTCTGATGATTCTCGATTTTTCGTTGAGTCACCTGCTATGTGTAAAATTTATGTGACACGTGAATGTTGAAATTTTAATTATTGATCAACATTTATTTCACCGAAATTTAAATATCTACAAATGCCCCCACTTCAAGGCGCGTTGTATACATGTGCTTGTCACGTGTAGAAGACGTGTTTTTGAAGTCCCTTAATGTAGATGTCGATCCAAGGGCCGTTGAAGCTTGATCTTGAATCGGGCTGGAGATTTCTTCAAAGGCCGTTGAGGCTTGTTCTTGCACTTTGTTTGAAATTTCTTCAAGGGACGTCGAGGCTTGATCTTGAAGGTTGAAATTGGACCACAAGGAGCTTCATGTGGTAGATGATCTTTGGCTTTGGTAGTGGATGAATCAGTGCGTATTTTGTTGCGCTTGTTGACTTTCCACAGCTTTGATCTTGAACTGGGTTGGAGGATTTTCTGGATTCCTCCAATTGTTTACTTTCCACAGCTTATTCTTGAATTGGATTTGATTCAAGGGTGGTGGACACTTGATCTTGAATCGAACTTGTGATTTCCTCAAGGGCCGTTGAGGCTTGATCTTGAAGGTTGATTCGAACACATGGCAAGCAGGCACAAGGTGAAGGTGACGGCCTGTTTCCTTGTTCAATCTTTTTAATTCACATCTGAGCAGTTTGATCAACGGTATGATCTTTAAGAGTGATGGGCTCTTCTTCCAGTTGATGACTTGATCTTTAAGGATTTGATTCAAGGATGGTGAATCGGCACGTGCAGCTCACAACGCCTAGTGAGTCGACCCAAGAATTTGAGGGTCAAAACAAGTCCATCAAACCCAGAGTGATTGCAACCCTAATGAGATGAGATACTTTTGATTTTGAAGAAGTAGCGGATGAATCGGCACATACTTGTTGTGCTTGTCTCCACATGCTTCAATGTACCATT